GAGTGGGTTGCCATTTCCTTCTCCAGTGCACCACATTTTGTCAGAACTCTCTGTCATGACCAGCTCATGGCTTCACTGAGTTACGCAAGCCCCTTCGCCACGACAAGGCAGTGATCCATGAAGGGGAAGAATAGGTTACTTACCCGTAACTATAGTTTTTTACATAGTTACTTATGTTTCTTTGCAGGTGTCTGTCAGGGCAGTTTTCAAACTTCTGTGGTTGCTATGGCAGTTTCCAGGATTCAGTGTATGGGGGCGGGGGGGAACCATGCTGCACATGTCCATTAAGAAAGTTATCACCTGTGAAGGTGCATAATGCATATTTATTTATTTAAATAATCTGTAAGGCCACCCATATCTCAAAAGTGACTTTGAGTGGCATACAAAGCTTAAAACCACAATAACAATCGTTACTAAATGCCAAGGCCATAAACACAGCCCAACTCATAAAGAATAATATAACCACATTTAACCAGCAGAGCCTGCCTAACCAGATAGCCTAAACACCTGGGAGAACAACCAGAATTGGGGCCATCCTAATCTCTGGGGCAATGCTGTTCCATAGGGGAGGTACCACTACAGAAAAGGCACAACTCTGGGATCCAGCAAGATAACACCGTTTAGTGGAAGGGGCATATGTATGATTAGATAGGTGACCACTCAGAAAAGCACAGATAAGCAGCCTGTTCTTTCTAAGCCCATTTACAAGCTTCCTAGCATATCATGAGCTTGTATAGGATATTTATATCTTTTTGCATCAGAAAATTCAATCATCTGGATGTCCCAAATAATGAGATTAATATATCAAAATGATATTTCAGTCATCATTTGTCTATAATACTTACTGAAATATTATTTACCTTTCAAGCAGATGTACTTATCGTAGACAATTGTACTGTAACATGGTGAGCCATAGAATTGCATTAAATATTATGTACTATGAATGACTTATTAATATAACTTGTAATTTATTACAGCTGTTGATTGGTTTTGAATCAGGAACAGTGGCATTATGGGATCTCAAATCCAAGAAGGCGGAATACAGATACACACATGATGAGGTAAAAAAAAGAAAACATAAGTCTGGCATGTTTTGAGTCATACTGTAATTTTGTGGATTATATTGGAACTTTATAGAAGAATTATTACTTAGTTTACTCATCATTGTTGCTTATATTTGTGGAAGAAATATATATGAGATAGATACATTCATCATGGTAAAGTGGGATTGAAAAGATTCAATTTATTAAATGACATAGGAATTTAGAAGTTACTCAAATGGCTTAAGTATTGTGGTAACTAAAATTATATTTCATATAGAAAGGTCAGAGTAGACTACTACATCTATGTTTTAACTACCCCAGAATAGCAGGGGTGGGCTCCCTCATACGGCCCCAATCCATAATTTGTAGTTCCCAGCACCGTTTCTTGCCCCCCAAGTGGGTGGGTCAAAACTATAAGACCTATTTTTTTTCTGGTATGTAGAATTTTGTGGAGAGCATTAATAAGGAAAGTGGATGTCTTAAAACTTGCAGAAGTTATCTTAGAATCTCTAACTGTAATCTTTGAAAGGTGGCAGAAAATTGGAAAATAATAAAAATCCCAGCTTTTAAAGGAAGGAGGAAGGAGGATCTAAGAATTTATGGACCGATTAGTTTAACATGTGTACAGGCAAGGAACTAGTTACTAAACCAGAATGATAAGTGAGTTTTTAAAAAATCAGCATTGCTTTGTCAGATAATCTTCTCTTTTACGACAGAGAAACTAGTTGAGTAGAGCAAAGGAATGATGTGGATGTAGTATACATTGATCTCAGTAAAGCATTTGACAAGGAGACTCATAATATCCTTGTGGACAAGATAGAGAAATGTGGACTAGATGTATTGCAATTTGGGAGATTAGCAGCTGGTTGAACAACCACATTCAAAGTATCCTCATAAGTGGTTCTGATCATTGTGGGGGGAAATATTGAGTGGAGACCCCTGAAGCTTTCATTCTCATTCCAATGCTGTTCAACATCTTTATAAATAACCTAGATGATGGAATACTTATCATGTTTGCAGATGATACCAAATTAGGAGGATTAACAAAATAATTCCAATTGACCTTGAAAGGCTTGAACATTGGTCCAAATCCAACAGAAGACATTCACCTGTGACAAATGTAAGGTCCTCCCTCTGGGTAGGGGAAATCAAATGCATGAGTATAGGATTGAGACCTGGCTTGTGGTAGTGCATATGACAAGAATCTAGAAATACTGGTGTAGCACTAGCTATACCCACTTCTCATTTAGCGGCCAAGTTCTGTTTCAGTAACCAGGTTGTTAAGTGAAATGGCTGCTAAGTGAATACATGACTCAGAGAGGGAGAGAGAGATGCTGTGAAGATCACTGGCTGCTGCCATCTCAGTCAGATAAAGTTCTCTCATACAACTACACCAGCGTTACTCTGGTGTGCATTATTGTCAGGCTCACAAAATTTGGTCATAAATGCATGCATTGGTTGAAAAATAATTTTTTTTATTACCATGGTATTTGCAAATGGTCACTAACTGAGGAGTGGGTGTACATGTAAGCAACCTGTGTGATACAACAGCTAAAAAAAGCCAATTGCATCTAGATCAAGAGATGGTAGTACAGCATACACTGTTGATTAAACCACATTTGGAGTCCTTTATTCCATTCTGGGGAGTACATTTTAAAAGGATACAGAGACCCTGCATTGAGTTCAAAGGACAAGTAACAGAATGATGAGGGCTCTGGAGATCAAGCCTTATGAGGAGTGGTAAAGGAGCCAAGCATTATTTAGCTTACGAATAGATTAAGAGGAAATATAAAAGCAGGCAAATACCTAAAGGTTGTCACATGGTAGAAGGGTGTACTGTTTTCTGTTGAAACTGAGAGGACGAGATTAATGTGTGAAAATTAAAGGAGATTCAGGCTAAATATTAGGAAGGATTTCTTAATGACAAGAGCTATCAAAGTTTGCCTAAAACAGTGCCTGACTGCCTCTCATTTGATGTTTTCAAACCAACTGAATGGCCCTGTTAGAAATGGTTTAGTGAATTCTTGTACTAAGTAGAAGGCTCCACAACATGACCTTCCAACTCATACTTCCTATGACTTCACAATATGTTGTGGAGTATGTTTGCTATTAGTATATTACATTCTTCTTAGTTCAGCAGAGGAGTAATAAGAGTTGAGTAAGAAGGTATTGACATTTAATTAAATGTTAGATACAATCTGTTTCTGTTGGATTCTGACATTATTAGACAAAACTAGTTAAACCACAAGTTCCCTCAATTCAGAAAGTTTTCATCAATAGCAATTTAATTCCTCTGTGGTTTCTCATCAGACGTGTATAATAGTTTTCCAGTTTAAAACATTTGCTTTATTGCTATAACAATAGAGTTTCACATCACCTACTTCAAATAAGCTTTAAATATTTTTCAGCTGTGGCATATTCCAGAATGTAGAATCTCAGGACTAACTTGATAGAATACATGTCCCCTAAAGCAGGGTCAACCACTCTCGGTGGCTTATTCTCATATGGTCTATAGGATTGTTGCCTAAAATATTTTTAGCATCATTGTTTATGCTTCAGTGACAGTATGGATGTAGAAATTAAGGGTTTTTAATCTTTAAGACATTAATTGAAATTATATGGAATATAGCATTGTAGTTCTTTTAACTTATGTGTGCATGTGTGTGTGGTATGTCTATATAAACGTAAAACTGTGATTAGATCCAAATTTTGCATTCTGCATATGGAACTCAGTTCCTTAACTGATGGATTCCCCAAGCCTTTCTTTTGTTGTATTAGTTCAATTAGTAATATTTAATTGAACTAATAGTACTATAGTTATATTTTGTTATCTCATTAACTTGTTTGATAATTTCAGAGTGGATTTTGTATGCATATAATTAGATTGTCCAGCTCTTTTTTTTTCCTTTCTTAGTATTTTTTTAAAAATTCAAGTAAGTTAAATTAGGTAGGTTGACATCTACTGGACACAAAGTATTTAATGCAGTGATGGCAGAAATTCTGTTCTATAATTTGAATAGCAGATATACTATGGATGGTGTTAGGGAGGTCACAGAAGTTGGTTTGATAATCTTATAAAAATATCTATTTTTTCAGTGATATGCAAGTCTGCTTTCGGAACTATAACCCATTAAATATAGGATTCTGTGGCCTTCACCCTGGTATTATGTGGAAGGCTACTTGTAATGGAACTTAAACCTGAGTCTGGATAGTGAAGAGCTCAATTGGCTGTAGATGATGATTTTCCTGTCATCGGGAACTTGTGAGGAAGGAAGGGAGGTACACCGTATTTATGACCCTTTTCTTTATGAAACAAAAGTTGTCATTTTTATAATAATTAACTGAATATGTCATAATATCTTAGAACTTTTTCTAAGGCACATTCAAGACCAACTGCAGTATTTATTTAAAATATTTTAGGGTATATATTTATTTAAAATATTTTAAGATATAAACTCTTCCCAGTGTTGATCATAGGATGAAATTTTACCAATAATTAATTTCAATATTCATTAAAAGTGGTGATCATAAAAAACGGACATTTTACCCCAAAATATTAAAAAACAATTCCATTACATAAGAAAAAGGCAATAGAAAACAGTATGAGTCTTGAGGGCTTCCTTGAAGGCTGTAGTGATGGGGCTTGGTCAACTTCAATTAGTAAAGTACTCTAGAGTGCCTGCAGCCATGGAGGAAAAAGAGAACCCACTCCCCGTTCAGCAACCAGCCTGGTTTGTTTCAGAAGAGGGCAGGTGAGAAGGTATAAACAATCTGGTAAGGTTAAGGTAGTCTTTCAGGTAACTTGGCAGCAAATCATTTAATCCTTTAAAAGTTGGAACCCAATTTAAAATGTTGGTTTTAACTAAACTGGCAATTAATACAGGGGTCACAACTTGGCGTCACATAAACTAATAATCCAACTCAGCAGTAATCTCCACTTTTGGTTGCAGCAGGCATAGATGACAGAGTAAAAAAACACTTCTGGCTGCTGCCATCTTCTCCTATCCAGTCCTTCAAAAACATGGCTGCCCCAAAGTGGTCCCCCCAAATGTCAATTTCTCTGTATTATCCAGAGTGTTGATTTCCCTCTCTGAGTCACCTTTGTGTTTCTTGAAGTCAGTATATTTGTACCAGTATGTATATATAGTGTATGTAAACATATACATGGAACTGTACTGTACTCTTTTCTATTAAAAGAAAAGTCGTTACTCTTAACATTTCCATAAGAACAGTTACACTCCCACTTGGAGCCATATTAAATCCCTCCTAACTACTAAGATGGTAAATTGTTCTCCTCTTGTTTAATCAGCATGATATTTAAACAGAAATACCAATTTCTGGTATTTCATAGTAGATGCTGCCTTGGTAACCATGAGTACTCCAAAACAAGGAGCATATTGGCTATTTTAAGGGAGCATTCTGTAAAAGAGAGAAAATATTTTCCTTTTTTAGGACATCATATGGCGGGTCTTCAGTCCATTCAGGAGGCAGAAGCCTATTTGTGATGTGTGATGTCACTAATGTGGCCCTCTGCTGTACCCCAAGACTGGAATTTGCCCTACATCCAAAGGTTAGTGAGTGTAATTAGGTTAGGTATTTGTAGCTTTATTAGAAAGGAATGTACTACACATATTCAATTTCCTTAGAAATCTTATCAATTCCTATGATTAAAGAAACTTAAGAATGGTCAGGAAATCCTTGAATTTAAAATATTAGTCTGTGCAATGTAAGTTGGAAGTACTTACCTTTAAGCTTGCTACTTGCATTGTATATATTAACATATATTCTAAAGAAATCAAAAATAGCATTGCTTGTAGTATTCCTTATGCAACTAGTGAAACATTAAATCTTACACTCCAACTGTAATAATAGTTCAAATAGAACAGATTAGAGTGATTTTTCTTCATTTTAAAATACCAGCTTTTTACTAAGAAATAGAAATGCAGAATATACTTTAGAATAAATTATCACTGTTACTCCCCAAACAGTTGAATATCAATAATCATTTTATTTAAAAAATGACACTGGGATAGAAGCTAAATGTATGTTTTCAAGATTCCAGTTATCCCTATTTTCAAGTGTAGTGTTTTTTAAAACATTCTTTCTGATTAGTGACCAAACTAAGATCTGCTTCCACAATGTCAGAGCCTACTGATAGTATCTACAATTCAAAAACAGAGTTTATGGATTTTAAAAGCAGTTGCTTTCCATATTCTTACAGTGTTCTACTACTCAGTTCTAGTTTCTCTGAAGAGACTTGTACTCCAGGATTGTGTTGGCTATATTAGATTGTTATATTCTTTGAGATTCACTTTTTAATATTTATTTTTAGATTATTATTTATTTATAGTAGGAGTCAGTAAGAAATTGTTTCAAACTATTTTGCATATTCTTGATTTGATTCTACCTATGTAATCCATTCCTTTCATAAACAAAGTTTGGAGAAGCAGAGTAGAATCTCTGCTTTGTCATTGCTGTAGCAGATCTGCATCTTTCTCAAAGTCACCAGAGACAATCACACCTGATACTTCTAAAGTAAATAATAATTTCTCATAGACTTCTTTCCAAAGGTTTGGTACAAATGTCATGACATACAGGTAAAACTCGAAAAATAAGAATATCGTGCAAATGTTCATTTATGTCAGTATGGCAACTCAAAAGGTGAAACCAATAT